GGATCGAGTCCCGCATCGGGCTCCCTGCTTGGCAGGGAGTCTGCTTCTCCCTCTGACCCTCCTCCCTCTCATGTGCTCTCTCTCAAATAAATAAAATCTTTAAAAGCTCCCCGAGTGGTTATTTAATGTACTGCCAAGGTTGAGAACCACTACTCTAGACCAAATCAGCCTCATCTCTCCACAGCTGCTACAGCTGCCTCTTCTAGCTTCTATTCTTACCACCTGCCCTCCATCAGCTCCCTATAATCCAATTGCCATAAGGCGGTTAAAATGAGCTTTCAAAAATGTAAATCGGACCACATCACCCCCTTGCCAGAACCTTTTAACAGTTTCCCTTTATACAAAAATACATAATCCAAACTCCTTATGGCCTACAGAGTTCAATGATCTCCAATCTCACCTCAAACCACTCTTCTCCCTGCTAGCTATGTGTTAGCCACACTGGTCTTCTTAGTTCCCAGAACATGGCAAGCTTCCTCCCATCTTAGAAGCTTTGCACTTGGCATTCTTCTGCCTGAAATACTTTACTCCTCACTCTTCTGCCTGAAACACTTTACTCCTCACTCTTCACAAGGTGTTTCTCTCATCCTTTATGTCTCAGCTTAAACACTTGAGGAGCCTCCTATGATCACCCTACCTGAAAAAAATCTCCCACTCTACAATTCTTTACCATTACACCCTATTTCCTTTGTAAAATGTATAATGTATAATGATCTTGTTTACTTATTGTCTCTCCCACTAACATGGAAACTTCAAGAGGGCAAGTATTATGTCTTATTTTCCCCTGTATTTCTAGTACCCAGCAGTTCCTGGTGTTATAATATATACATAATTTCTATCTCGCCCTGTCATCTAAACTTGATGAGAAAAATCTAAAGACCTTTTACAACTGTTCCTCAGGGGTAAGGGGTGAATCAAATAAACAAGTTCCTAAAGGAGATTTCCACAAAGTAAAAATTCTGATGAATCTCAGAATTATGGACATGACTGTATGGACACTGTCAATAAAAGAAGGGAATGTTATGTAACTACTAAAAGTTTCAGGACCAGATTAATTTGTTGGGTAGGTCTAACTAGACAGAAAGCTCCTCAAAAGTAGGTTTTTGCACACCCTGACCTTTTACAGTATATATCACAGAATATGCACTTAAGGGCGCCCGGGTGGCTCAGTTGGTTAAGTATCTGCCTTCAGCTCAGGTCATGATCCCAGGGTCCGGGGATCGAGTCCTGCGTCAGGCTCCCTGTTCAGCCAGAAGTCGGGTTCTCCCTCTGCCGCCGCCCGCCCCTCCCCCCCCTTGTCCTCTCTCTCTCTCTTTCAAATGAATAAATAAAATCTTAAAAAAAAAAAAAGAATATGTACTCAAAATGTTTACTGCACATGTAAGGAGCTGATTTTTTTTTCTTCCCCAGATTAGGCAAATTTCCACAAGCTTAATATATGGCAGAAAATGAAGAAAACACTCATTCCTATTTCATAGGATCAAAATGCAATAATAGAATGGGAAGGTGTTTTGTAAATTATATCGGATATAAACACATGTGGCACATTACATTATTGTTGGAAGAGGCAACCTGAGGAATACTTTATTTTGAAATAAAATATAAACATGCAAAGTAAAAATTAAAATTAATTTGTTCTCCCCCCCCTTTCTGAACATTGAGTCAACAGAATGTGAGACTAGGTAGAATGGCAGATACAGGCAAAAATCTAGCCTGTTAGTAGCAAGAAAGAAGAAATAAAAGATGAGTAACACTAAAGGAATAACCCTTTGGTATCTTTTCAAGTAGCCCAGGCCCCCTTCTGTTACCAAACCCTCAGGAGCCCAGCACCACACCTCCTGGCTTCCCTACAATAGTCACTCACGCTCCACGATGTCACTGATGTAATAACTGAAGATGTGGGCCAGTTTGTCCATGTCATGTTCCGACTTGCAGGTCAGGCTGAACCTATCCATTAATGCTGTAAACCCTAGCCGACAAAACAAAAATTACGTTAGCTGCAAATCCTGAACTTTTAGGCTCTATTCCCTGCACGCATCAAGCCAGTGTAAAGAAGCAGATCTCCTCCAGATGAGTAATTTCATTATCCTTTAACAAGTGTTCATACTCGGGGCCAGGCTGGCTGCCTGCCGCCCCTGGGAACCCAGAGAGCCACACCCCCTTCATTTCCAGGAGCTGCAGATGGAAGATTCACCCACAAGCACCCTCTTTCCTCTCTAGCCAGCTAACCCGTTTCTGCCATACCCTCTTAAGCTCCCTGGCCAAGGGAGAAATGGGATTTCGCCCCATGTGAGAGACAGAGAGACCAACGACGAGGGGGATGGATTAAAGCTTTATGGAGAACTCAGATGGTGAGCTCCTCGAGGTCAGGCACCTTCAGACACTCATCTTCAGATCCATGACACAAACTCCACAAATATTTGTTAAGTAAGCGACTCTCGAAGTAGCTGCTGGATCTCTAATTCCTAGCGCAGTGGCGGGCACACACTTAGGGACCCAAAGAAGGAATTTATTGAGCGAAAAAAACGGGCTGAAGCGGTATGCGTATTGGGAGAAAACTTAGGTTCAAAGCCTGCTGAGTGGTCCCGCAAAAGTCCTTTTCCGTTTCTGAGTCTCCTTTCATTTCTGAAGTGAACTCTAGGGCTACGCCAGACCATTCCGGAAGGAGTCCTCCAGCTCTGAACCAGGTTTCCCGAGGAGGCGGCGGCGAGCAGTTAAGCCGCGCCTTTGCTTGCCCGGGGGCCAGGCCTGTAACCGCCGCCGCCTCTCGGAGCCAGGCCCAACGGCCGCCCCTCGGGCAGGGCGGGAGAGCGACGCGCCTCGGCTCACCCGTCACGTGGACGCCAAGGAGGACGCCCTGGGCCGTGGCGAGCTCGGGTTCCGATCGCCGGGGCTTCCTGAACACCAGCAGGTCGGGAAGCAGCGCCGCCAACCGGGCCTCTACCGGCCACACGGGCGGCGCCGCCAACCGCTCGCCGATCGCCATGGCGGCGCGGGGTTGCCCACCAAGCTACCGGAAACGAGGGTCCTCCGGGTAGCAGCCAATCCGCAACGACAGCCTTGGCGGGTCCCTCCCACCAACCAATCAGTGTGGGCCTCCTCGGGGAGATGCCAATCCAGGGTGGCCGCGGGCCCCGCCCCGCCCCACCTGCCTCCCGCCCCCTGCGCCCTTGCTCTGGCCTCTGGGAGGTGAGCGGCTGCAGGTTTGGCGGGGGGGGCAAGCATGTTCAAGAGTCAAGAAGATGCTTAAAAATCTTTATCCGTGGGGCACCTGGGTGGCTCAGTTGGTTAAGCGACTGCCTTCGGCTCAGGTCATGATCCTGGAGTCCCGGGATCGAGTCCCACATCGGGCTCCCCGCTCAGCAGGGAGTCTGCTTCTCCCTCTGACCCTCCCCCTCTCATGCTCTCTGTCTCCCATTCTCTCTCTCAGATAAATAAAACCTTTAAAAAAAAAAAAATCTTTATCTGTGAAAATGTTTCTTCAATAAGACAGATTATTTCAGATAGTGTCAATAGAGGGGTCTTCTATCACCAGAGTGGAATGCTGGCTCACCTCTGAATTTCTAAGGGCAATGTTCCATTAGCATCTGACTAAAGCAACCTCAGTATGGTTTTTTATCAACCTTAAACTAACGCTATTTAATGGTCAGTGCCTTAATTAGAGAATTTCTTCTGTTTCTCTTACCTGCCAGGACAGGTCTATAGGTCGTCTCCTGAGTGTGCTCCGGACGTTGCTTTGCTCTAGCTCCAGCTCCTGGTTCCCTGTGTGGTAAATGCCTGAGGTTGCCTGTCAGTTGGCTCACATTTTTGGAGAATTCCCATTATTAATAATAGGAGTGTGTTGTGGATTTTTAACAATCAGGAAAGCATCGTGTTTTGTTTTTCTGCAGAAATAAATCTTAAAATTACAGCTTCACTATCTTTAGTTCTACAATACCCAGTCAATGCTGTTTCAGTGATAACTGATGTGAAAATGTTGGGGTTTGGGAGAACAGCCAAGAAAGAATTCTTGAGGCATCTTCCGTGCAAAGCAGGTGGTTTTATTAAAGCACAGGGACAGGACCTTGGGCAGAAAGAGCTGCACTGGATTGTGAGCAGTGGTTCATTGTATCCTTTCAAGTTGGGAGGTGGTTAGGGATTGTGTAAGTCTCTAAGGAATTTGGAAACAAGGTTTCCAGGCCCCGAGGGGCCATTTATTACCCTCTACTAAAATCTTAGTCATGAAACCCTTTAGATGTGTATCAGTGGGGCCATATGCTTGGAGGATGATTGCCAACATATATCTTGGGGAGTAGAGATAAAGGAAGCTTCCAAATGAATTTAATATGTTAAAGGAAACTTACAGGATCCTGGAGGTCGGGCTAATGTCAAACAGGTTGCCTTTTGCCACAGCAAAGTATTAACATCTAGGCAGTTGAGTTCCTAGAGGAAGGCCACTCTGCCTGTCTCAAGTACTGGTCAGTGGGCTGTTAAGTTGTAAGGAAATTTAATTTTTTTCCCTGTATTTCTTTTACCTTTGTTCTCCACATCAATAACTAAAAGGCTTATTTTGCTTGTGGAATACTTCATCAAATTTTGGTTAACACTTCCAGTAGTAAGATGAAATATACAATCTGCACGGGTGGCAGAGATTACCTCCTCAGCAGGATGGAAGGCAAAAAGGGAAGAAAAGGAGAGTAAGGGGAGACATGCAACTAAGAGGCCTGGACACTACAAGTTTGACACTGTCTACAGAGCTCCCATGTCTACAAAGATCACAATGGCGACATTATAAACACAACCTAGAACCCAAGGAATGTGAAAATTCAAATCACTTTTTAGTATTTTTACAAATTTATTTTAAAAAATAACAATTGCAATGACATCAATGATCGATCACCTGTACTCCCCCTACTGCTGGGAGAAAAACCTATACTGTTGAGTCCCAAAGGAAAATCAAGACATTATTATCAGGCACCCAACAGCCAGAAAAAGCTCTGTTGGTCCAGTGGTATAATAGACACTGACATATTCAATGTACTGGTGCAATTAAAATATATACATTTACAATTATCTTGCCAAAAAGAGCACTCAAGAAGTGAAATAACTATGCATTAAACCAATTATTCACTCATCCATTCACTCTTTCTGCATCTATGAAGTCATCACTACAGTCACAAGGACAAATAAAAGAACCAGTAACAAAGAAAAAAAATCCAAACCTCAACCCCCCACTTTGTGGGTTATTATGATGTGCTAAAATGGCCACAATAAAAGGGCCACGAGCTATCTGAAATGCAGTGACAAAATGACAACTGAAGCATTTCTTTCAAAAAAAACAACTCAAACTCATGGAAAAAAAATTCTGCAACAATGTGAGGTTGTTACTATGTACAAACTTACAGACACAAATAAATAGCATTTTTGAACTGCTGTTGGCTTAGATTGGAGGACTTTCTTTCTGAGCTCTGAATCTTAAAGACTCCTAAACAAACCAAGGAATAGAAATTCCTCATTGTTTTTAGTGAACTATCATCTGAAAATCTTGGGGCTTACTGAATAAAATCAATGTGTCAAACTTAAGAGCCAGAAGTTTCTAGTGAGCCTACCAGAGGGTTTGGCCTCTCCTGACATCTGGAAGCCAGGACAGGTGACTACAGATACCAAGGACTAGAGAGATACTTTACTTCCTGCTTTCTTTGCATAGTTCTGAACCTCTATTTCCACCATTACAATGATTTCCCTTTGTAATATTTTCTTCAAAGGGTTTATTTTCTTTTCCCTCTTAATACAATTAGAATGAAATCAAAGAAAGTGCCAATCCTTACTCTTGGTATTTAAATCAAACCCAAATGATCTTCAAAAGAATTAAGTCTTCCTTGTTTCTAGAGAAGGCAGCAACTCTTTTCTGAAATATCATCTTAGTTTACCCCAGGTTCAACATCTAGCAAAGAAATAGATTACTGAGGCACAGTCCATTCTGGGAAATGTGGCCCAATTCTTGACTCTGCCAGCATCACCATTACCAGTTGGCAGCTTATCCCCAGAATGTGGATGTAATGTAAAAACCTTTCTGCTATACAAGGCCTATGTAGAAAAGGAGAAACATGGAAACTGGCACCAAAGAATCAGCTGCCAGGGGAAGAAAGAGAATGTTCGCTCTCTGGGGCCAGCACCAAACAAAGTGCTGCAGGAGTGAAGCCAATATTCACCTTAAACTCGAGCAGGTAACCTGGAATATATCCAGGAGAGTGTGATTGAACAATGCTTTCCAGACAGAAATTGTCAAAGAGCAGTTCTCAGACTTCTCCCTTTCCATGCTTGTTAAAAAGTTATAGTATAAATGTAAATTCTTTTCACCTTAATGATCCATCCCAGGCATCCATCCACTGGAGAATCATGCTATATGACAACACATGGGTATATATACTACTCTCTCTTCTGCTAGACTGCAACACGTGTGAACCCTTCTCTTCCCCAAATGCTGTCACAAAGCCTATAACTGAAAATCTCTAGGGGCACCTGGGTGACTCAGTCAGTTGAGCATCCAACTCTCGACCTCAGCTCAGGTCTTGATCTCAGGGATGTGAATTCAAGCCCCACATTGTACTCCATGCTGGGTGTGGAGCCTACTAAAAAAAAAAAAAAAATTCTAATTTGGCTGTTTAGGAGTTACTACAATGTCCTCAGCACTTCAGCACAGAAAGTTGTTGTATGGTTTTGTTCTCTACTTAGGAAAGGCAGTTTCAAGGTCCAATACCCTCTAAATTGTCTTACAAGTAGCAGAAGCAAAAACTATGGTCCAGATGATCTGTCAGCAGACAGACAAACCATAACTTGCCAAAGCTTTAAAAAAAGAGAGATTCAGCAATTTATAGTTTTAGTGCTTGAGTCTTTTGTCATTCTATCCCCAGAGTTAGCTTTTCTTGGCTGGAGTCCAAAAATACCAACCTATCATCTGGGTAGACAGAGATTCCTATTATTACCACAGATTAGATGAATTCTCAGAGAATTTATTGTTTCCATGTTATAAGATGGAACTTCCTTGCCTGGAAGCCACCTCTGAATACAAAGTGTCCAGTGAGTCAGCCGGAGATCCCCCCTCAGAGGATGGATGCTGCTTAGATTCCATGGGAAGGAGTGGGCGTCGGCTTCCCTGATTTCAGTCTCGGTTGAGAAGGTTGTTCTCCCTAGCTAAGATGGCTGGCTGGCTTCAGAAGCCAACATAAGTGCTGTGTGTGCACTTATGTGCACAGGTCCCTTGCATCATCCTAATCCATGAAATGTCAATGTCATCAACAGTCTGAAATAGGTCCTGCCTGAAAGGGCGAGACAAAGGCTTATGACTTCAATTTGCCAGACATCGCTGCAATTATAATACTGAGCCACTTATTAAAAACTAAGTGGTTTGTCCTGTAGAAAAGGGCAGCACGTAATCGTCAGTGTCCCATTGGAAGAGGTGATCAATTTCCTGGAACAGTGGGAAACAGTGGTGAGGAACATGACCTTGATCTGCTCCATCACATGGCCTGGGGTTAGGACACTCGGATGATCTGTGTCATTGCTTCTTCATCTGCTTGGTTTGGATCCTAGAGACAAAGCATAATAGTGATTAAAATCCTTTGCAAAAGTAACAAGGAACTCAAGGCTCTCATTTCTCATCATCAAGGGTAATACATACAATTTTGCTAAGTAAACCAAAGTCCCAGAATGTACCTAAGTCTACCTACATGGATTAAAATGCAGCTCCATAAGGAAAGAAGAGATAACAAACCTTTGTGTAAAAGGAGTGTTAAGTCTGGCCTGGCATTCCACTTCCAAGCACTCCAGAGTTGACAGTGTATCTCTTTCCTAAGAGAACCTGTGTTGTGCTTTACCTTCCAAATTTAAGGGTCTTTAGGTGGCCAAGAGAACCACGTCATATTGTATTTTTTGTGCCATGACTTTCTGATCATATTTAAATACTAAGCACTTAGCAGGGCTGGAAAAGACACTGACATTTATTTTAATGTGCTCATTTTGAAGATAAACCCAAAGCCTGGATGGATAAAGTGATTTGCCTGGACTAGAGTGAGGAAGTTAGTCAGCAGCTCAGCAAGAACTAATGCCCAAATCTCTTGGCTCCGATTTCACTATTTCTTAACTATTTCCCATTTCTTTCCACTAAATTCTGCATGCCCCCCCTCACTTCAAATCTGCAGTGTTAAGACAAGGATCAGTCCATGGGGCGCCTGGGTGGCTCAGTCGTTAAGCGTCTGCCTTCGGCTCAGGTCATGATCCCAGGGTCCTGGGATCGAGCCCCACATTGGGCTCCCTGCTCGGCGGGAAGCCTGCTTCTCCCTCTCCCACTCCCCCTGCTTGTGTTCCCTCTCTCGCTGTGTCTCTCTCTGTCAAATAAATAAATAAAATCTTTAAAAAAAAAAAGACAAGGATCAGTCCTAAGAAGCTTTTTGCAACACTCCACAATAACTGCCTTCAGTTCCTCCACACCAAGGCTCTGAAGCTTCAACTGATGTGATCTGAGAAAAAGCTAAAAGACTTCTGGAGGTGGCAGGATTGCGGCGGGGTCTTGAACAATGAGTAAGAATAATAACCAGCATTTACAGAGCCCTCACCATGCACTAGATAACGTGCTAAGTAGGTGGCAAATATGGCTTACTGCATGAAATTCCCACAGTGGCCCTATGAAGTATCAACAGCAGCCTACTTTATAGGTGGAGGAACTCAGGCCAAAGGAGCCTAAGTAACTTGACCAAGGTCCTATCGGTAGCACACAGAATTAGGAGAGTTCCTGGCACAATGCCCATAGATGGTACTCTATATCCACACGCTGCATGAATTAATGAGAAAAGAAGGGCTCCCAGACTACAGGTAGGAATTAATAGCATTGAAAGAGGAGTTTGTGCTCCTGTGTGGAAATACTGAGGATTCCTAGTCTGACATCGAAAGGCATGAGGAAGCCAAGCTGCTTAGATGTCATATAAAAACAGTTTGGAATCTGATGCAGTAAGAAATGAAAACCAGCATGCATCCTTGAGCAGGGGTCCGGCATGATTAAAAAAGCACTACCTTATAATGACCGATTTGGCAGTAGTGCAGGTGGGATGTAATGGTCACACAGAATGAAACAGCAGGAAATGGAAGGAATCCATGAATTCAACAAACATTTACCAAGTGCTTGTTCTGGACTGGGCATTATGCTAAGTCCAATCAATACAATGGAGAACAAAACAATCCTCTACTCTCTATACAGCTTATAGTCTAGTGAAGGAGATGTCAACTGCACAATTACACAAATAAAACAAGTCAATTATTAATGATGCTCAAAAGAAAAGGAAGATGTGAAAAAATAATGAGGTGGAAGAGATCTATTCTGACTTCAGCCTCAGATTTAAACCAAGACCTAAAAGGCAAGAAGATGGGAGTGAAAACCTTTACAGATTAGCTATTTTCATGACAAAGGTCCTATGGCAGGAGACAGATCAATGAATAGTACAGCAAGAGCATAAAGACCAAGAACAGGAGGAAATGAGGCCAGAGGTAGGCAGGAGCTCAATCACACACGTGCCTTTTTGGCCATGGTAAGCACTCTGGATTTTAGTCTAAGTGCAAGTGGGAAAATGGCAGGAATGGAAGGGGTTTAAGCAGGACAGTGATGTGAGATGACATACATTTTAAGAAGACCACTTGAAGATATGAAGAATGGACTAGAGGGGCACAAGACTGGAAGGACACCAGTAGATAGCTGTTACATGAACTGAAGCAAAAAAAGAGGACTTCTTCAGGCTAATGGCAGCTGGAAGGGAAAAAATGTTAACTGATTCAGATTATTATTTTAAAGGTAAAGCCAAGAGGACTTTTTCAAGAATTGGACAATTTAAGCTTTAGCAACTGGGTGGATGGACAGGTCACTTACTGAGATGAGCGACTGGTTTAGGGATAAAAAATAAAATACAAATCAAGAGCTCTGTTTTGGATATACTGACTCAGAAATGCTGATAAGTACAATCAGTGGAATCAGATGTAAGAACCAGTGATGTACAGCAGCTACAAATAAGTTCTGGAATTACACTGGCTTTGAATTTCAGGTGTACCATTTTATTAAGTATTTTACCTTGGGCAAACTACTTAATCTCTCTAAACCTCAAATTTAACTGTAAAATGGAAATAAGTATTCTTACCTCACGGGGCTTGAGGATGCTCTAAAGATTCAATGAAAACAAAGCGCTTACAAAAATGCTTAATGTAATGGCTGGCACATAGCAGTTAAGTGTTAGCTGCTGATGATCGTGCTATTACACTAAGAGACAATAAAACTTTTTCTTTTAAAATCAAGAAAAAGGAGAATTATAAGAAGGAATTAATAGTAGTAACTGGCAAAGATGAGGAGGAAAAGGGCCAATGGATTGAACACGTTTAGTGCTTTAAGGCAAAAAGGAATCTAAGAGATACAACATTGCATTCAACTTAGAGAATGTAGTTAGTCTCTGGTGTGAACATAACAAGAGGACTCTGAATGCTCTTCCCAAGAAAATACACGGCAAAAAGAGAAGAATGAAATGTATCATCTACTTACCTGCATATGGGGACTATCCTTTTCCTTTGGAGAGAAAAACCATCCACCTTCACCCCGTTTCTGAGCCATGGCATGACAGTGCCGAAACTCGTGCAGGTATTTCTGAAACCAGAGAAATAAAGGTACTAGTTGGAACCAGCACAGTTATCTCATTCATAAATTCTACTCTCTGAAGTCAGGAGAGCTGTCATCAGAGCCACCAGGGGCAATTATGACCTTGAATTATGGAGAAAGCTTTGGAGGAAACATTGGGCAGCAGCTGACCGTATATGAACTATCATAAAGATGTGAACGCTAAATGAATTATAAATAAAAAGGATTCCCCAAAGGTGTAGCAACGATCACTATCTAACCCCCCCAACCCATATACATGCTCTCCTTCACTTCAATAACAGACCAAATTTTAGTTGAGCAAATGACTGCTCAGTAAAAAAACAAACAAACAAACAAACAAAAAAACACAAACCCCCTGCATTTCCCTGACTTGTTTGCAGGTTTAAGTGTGGCCACGTAATTAAGTTTTGGCTAATGAGATGTATGGAGCTTCTTGAAAGTTTCTTTGAGAAGGAGTGCCTTTCTTGTTCCCTTTGTACCTAGGCCGGAGCCCAAGCAGTCATCCTGGACTATGACTAGCACACTAAGGCTATCAGAATAGTGAGACCAGAGGAGAGAGCATCATGAGGACTGGCTGTGGAAATGGGCTACCAGCCTAGGACAATTTCTCTCTGGACTTCTCTTATGCAAGAAAAAAAATAAATTTCTTTTTAAGCCCCTGTTACTGTTTTGTTATGGTAGTTGCGGTCACACAGAACAATAATAAATGTTAACTTTTATAAAGATAACAGCTATTTACTTTCAATTGTTTGGAAGGTGCTCAAGGAAACAAACCATATAAAAGGTAATTTCAAAAGTAGAACCCTGCCCTTTCTCCTCCTTCTTTCAATGTTATACACACCCTTCTTTCCTTTGGAATTTTTCCTTCTGCCTCTAGTTTAGCCCGGGCTTGCCTCCTCTTTAATATACGGTGGTACTGTTTGGCATTCACATAGAGAGGCTCTTCTTCGAGCATCTCTGCCCCAGGGAGAGGGATTCTTTGGATAGCAGGTACAGAGCCAGCACCAGGCACCATCTACATGAAGAAAAACCACAGCTTATTAAATAGTGGCACGTAGTATGGACACAGGAAACTTCTCGGTCCCTGTTAAATTATTTTTTCTAAATGCTACAAAGAGTAGCTTTTATAGAGCACGTAGTTAAACGGGATTCCTGGAGAACATTTACACCCATGCATTTTAAACCAAAATTCCGGAGGATTGTCATAGGGAACCCAGGAGCTACAATGACAGATGATACAACCATGTCCAAATTGTTATCCACCTATGGCTCCATTTCTAGAAAAATCTGCTGCCATCTAATGGTCAGGAACAGTAATCACAGACCATGAAATAGTACAAAGGTAGGTTGACCCAAATGCCTACAGTTACATAATTTAATAAGCTACTTAACTTGCTAAATAATTCAAACTTAATTTTTCTAAACACACTAAAACTAAAAACACTGTACTAAGTATATGAGAAAACCAGTAACAGGTTCCCATGCCCCATTCCCTTCCCAACTATAACAACTTTGAATGGATGTGTTGTTTCTTCTGGTAGTTTCCTCCACCTCTGTGTGCAGGCTTCTACTACTTGTTCTTAATTTACCCATTTTAGGTATTATGTACTGCCATCCATTTTGGACAGGAAGACTTACCCTCCACTTACACCACTACTCATCTCTCCTTCCCTATCTTCCCAATGTACTCATAGCATACACGTTTTGGTTTCTTTATTGATTACAATCTGATTTTGAGCTTACTTCTTATTTCACTCTCTATGGGCAATATATTGCCCACTTCCCAAAGATTAGTAGTCTATGCCTTCATTATTTGAATTCTGAATAAGATTACTCAAAAGCGGTTACTTCTACCTATTTATCCTCTGCTCTATCTCTAGCACCTAGAATAGTCACCAGCACATAATAGGTGCTCAGAATGAATTATAATGCATTATAGTGTTTCTTGTAAAAGTAGATCTCTGTAAATGCCTTAAGGATCAATTCAATCCCAAGGGGCCAGCGTTATCAACAAGCTTTATGAGATAAGATAGCAAACTGCAAGTCCAAACAAATTTTCAATGACAAAGAGATATATGGAAAGATAAATGATAGAAAATCCGTTTTCTTACCATGACCATCCCTCCTGAATTGACCACATTGCCTGCCACTGGTAGTGTCACAGTGACAGTCCCTTGCCCACTGCTGGTTGTGTTGGTGTTGGCTCCTGTCTGAACAATCTGTGCTCCTGCCAAACTGGCTGCTGGGATGGTGATCATGCCTGAAACAGGGACTGTAACTTTAAGAAAATAAAACATAAAACAAACAAAAACAGGTACACAGAAAGAAGGGAACACAGTTAGTCCCTCTTCTATCTGGCACACGCTTATCTCCTCTGGAAAAACATAGTAAACAGCACAAAGGGAGAAGCACTCTCCTACTCTCTGCCCCGTTTGCTGCATGTAAGCCCAGTAATCACTGCCTTTGATAGTCTGTTCACTGTCTGGGTTCCAGTTCTGATAAAATTATCCTTGAAGTGGATACCTCCCTGGGTATTCCAGTAATAGCTTTCAATGGCTGGTGAGAAAGTTTGGAGGCCTCCTCTTCTAGAGGTCAGTCTGACTTCAGTTATACTACTGTTCTTGTATACGCGAATAATCTGTTTAGGACGGAGACTTTATACATTTATAATTTGTTTATCCTAAACTGACAATGACCCAACCTGTTCTAGAACTAAAACTTAAAATTAAACCAAACACTCCATGCCCCCAAACTATCACCAGCACCACTCACAGATTTGTTCACCATTTTCTGATTGAGCTCTGGCCTGGGCTCAATCCAGTTCAGGCCTTCTCCTGAGTCACAGGAGAGCACACTTACCTGTACTCACTGGAGCTTGTGTACTGCTAAATTTTAATCAAAAGTCCAACTTTTTTGGGGGGGGCGCGGGGGAGGAAGAGCATGCATGCGTGTGAGTGGGGGCAGGCAGAGGGAGAGGGAAAGAGAGAATCCTAAGCAGGCTCCATGCCTAGCATGGAGCCCAACTTGGGGTTCGATTTCACAACCTTGTGATCATGACCTAAGCTGAAATCAAGGATGCTTAACCGACTGAGCCACCCAGGTGCCCCATCACAAGTCAAATTTTTGCTCATGGACTCAGATGTCTTTTCCAGATTCACTTAGCTGACAGATACTTCCAAAAGCTCTCAAGTTCAGTTTGAGCCATCTCCTCTTCTCTGAAGTCCATTCTCCTCCCAAGTCCAACAGATTTCATCGCTCCTGTATTTATGCATTATCTATTGCTAGGACACACCTCTGTAAAGGCTCTGCACTGCATTTATTCGGTCACATACATGTCTCCCTTAATAGATTAAAGGTTCTCTGAGAAAATTTCTTTCTTAGTGAAGTGCTGCATACATAGTGGGCATATAATAAGTCTTTTGAGCAAAAACTAATAATAAAGTAGACCAGAAAAAAAAACCTGCAAGTAGCAGCAATACTAAATGCCAACTTGACTTCTGATTGGTTTCTTCCATTACCAATAACGAAACTGTACTTCCAGTCTTCTATGTAGAAACATTTTTTTTCCCCCGCTAGAAAGGCTCAAAAACTTCTATAATCCCTAGGGCCAGTCTTTTAACCACCACTGCAGGAACGCCTACAAATGTTACCAATGCTGGTCACGTATGAATGACGAGAAAACAACAACCAATGGAGATTTAGAAAAAATTTTTGTTGTTCAAAAGTATGTTCTGTGGGCTCCCTGCTAGCCAGGGAGCCCGCTTCGCCCTCTCCCTCTCTGTAAAAAAAAATATATATATGTTGTGAGGAGGGCACAAAATTTGTGGAGCAGTCATTTGCTCAAAGGATAAAAAAGATGCCCCCTGCCAAAGTCCCACAGAAACACATAGGCACACTTACCTTGCTGTAGAATGGTGCCGTCTGCGTTCACTGGCTGATAGACAATAGTCTGCCCTTCGGCAGTCTGTGCCACTTGCTGTCCCTGGACAGCAATCTGCTGCTGGGTCTGAAGGACAGAAATCGTGACAATTTAATACATTCCAAAGCTACCACAAAGGACGCCTTCTTTTTAAGAAAGAAAATACAATATTTTGATGGTTTTCTTCCCCATTTCTACTACCAGTGAGATATCTGGCTCAGCTGTCTGACCCTTCCCAATCAGTTGTGCTCTTGGGTTGACAGAGATCATGGGAATTACCTGGGTCTGGCCAGCAGTGACTGCCGTCTGGGGCTGCTGGATGATGATCTGCTGGGTCTGGCCCTGCTGGCCCTGTACCTGCACAGCCTGCCCACCCTGGATCTGAATCTGTCCAGGTGGGACCAACTGTATCTGTGCAAGAGAACACAGAGAAATGTTAGTACCCTGCTGGCACTGGTCTCTTTTGGTCCTGGAGTATTAGGTACCCAAGTTCCCCCAGAAAGCAAGAAAGGCTCTGAAGAGGAAAAAAAGACAGAATCTTGTTCTGCTCTCTATTGTAAATTAGACATAAGTTGTTTTCCATTCATGAAACAATGGGGGGAATTTTGGCTGCTGTCTAGATACAGGATGATTTTAAGGAATCAAAGTCAGTTTTAAAAAAGATGATATATAACCAGGCTGGCATGTTATATATATTTTTAAAGTATATTCATTTAAAAACATATCCTGAAGTACTTTTTAGAGATAAAAGAATATTATATATATTTAAAGTAATCCTTGAAAGAGTAAGGGAATACAGGTGCAACTAGAAGACTGATTATAATTTGATAAATGTTAAAGCTGGGTGGTAGGGATTCATCACACCATTCTCTGTTTTTGTCTATTTAATGTTTTCTACAATAAAATGTTCAAAAAAATGCTATCCTATATATATATAAAAGCTTTAAACATACAGAAAAGGTGACACTATTATATTAGAAACCTATGCAGTCGCCACTCAGATTTAACAAATTAACGTTCTGCCATATTTGTTTAACATTCCCTTCCCCTCTAAAAATTATTTACTGTATTAAAATGTGATCATCCTTACAGAGCATTTTACACGTCTATCCATAAAAACCTATGGATAGGTTTTAGTTTGTAAGTTTCACATAAATAGTAACATACTGTATCTTTTTGCAATTTGCTTTTATCGTCATTGTTTTCAAAATTTAGCCAGTTTTAAAATATTTATTTCATCATTTTTAAAGTATTTATTTATTTGTAATCTCTATACCCAATGTGGGGGCTTGAACTCATGACCCTGAGATCAAGAATCACATGCTCTTCCAACTGAGCTAGCTGAATGACCGACCCATCTTCCGACTGAGCCAGCTGAGCGCCCCAGAACTAGTTCACTCATTTTAACTGGTATTAAGTATCACATTAAGTAATTATACTGTAACTTATTATTCATCCATTCCCCTTAATATTTGGGTTTTTCTCTAACAATTTTATTTTTACAAACAAATTTTACACACACAAAAATTAATGAACACGTATTCTTGTGCAAATGTTATAAGTTTCTTAAGTAGAATTCCTGTGTTGAAGGAGATGGGTGTGTTGTAATGCAGCCTCTAAAATGGTTTCTAGCTGCTTTCTGGTAATCACTCCTTTTATGTAATCTTCCCCATGAGTGTGCTGGACCTAGTGACTCACTTCTAACAAACAATCTGGCCAAAGTATTGGGGCATCACTTATGAGATTAGGTTACAAAAAGATCAACTTCCATCTTGCTGGCTTTTTCTCACTCTCCCTTACTTGCTCTGAGGGTATCAAGATAGCTGTCGTGTCATGTGCTACCCTACGGAGATGCCCACAAGGCAAGATGCCCACCCAGAACCACGTTAAGTTGAGCTTTAAAGTGGATTCTTCCCCCTGTTGAACCTCGCTTTGACTACAGGCCACAAGTGTGTCAAGAGACACTGAACAATGTGTCAGATTCTATTCCCTATGTCTATTTTCCAACATCTTCACTAATGCTCAGTACTATCATTAATGTTTGCTGGTCTCTTGTTGATTTAATTTGCATTTTCAATTTTATTCCTGGCTTTGGATAGCTAAACCTCAGGCAACAATTTTGGACAGAGAGGGAACCTGTGCTATCCAAATCTATTTTCTTATATTTCTTTCTTTAACGGCTATGGCTAATTTATTAGGAGTGTCATTGTAAATGTGACAAATTTGAAAAATATTTCTTATAAGCTTTTTATTATTTAAAAAACTAGTTAATAGTTTAACTGCTGGGTGTATAGCATCCTGTTTTCATGTAACACCTACTGTACACGTTTTTAAGAACAAAAGAGAATGCACTTAGGAACGCCCCACAGCTCAAAACTTCCAATATTTTATATACAAGTTCACACCTAAACAATAGTCAAGGGTACAGCACAAATGTTTCCCCCACATCCCCTTCATCTCCCATCTCATTAGTTCTTTCATTCATTCCATCACCAGACATTTTTGATCTGGGTGTTATTTCAACAGAGTGGAGTTTTTCTCCTTCATTTCGTTACTGTACTGTATTACATTAATTTTTCAATGTGGAAGCATCCTTGAACTCTAGGAATAAGTCCCACTTGTTCATAGTGTGTAATTTTTAATATGCTCTGGATTTGGGTTTGCTAGTATTTTGGGGGGATTCTTGCATCAATGTTCATAACGCATATTAGTCTGTAATTTTTCTTGTAATGTCTTTGTTTGGTCTTGGTATCAGAATAATGTTGGCCTCACAGAATGAATTAGGAGGTACTCTCCCAATTTTTGGGAAAAGTTTGATTGGTATTAGTTCTCCAAGTTTTTGGTAAAATATACCAGTGAAGCCATTAGTGCTTTTATTTGTTGGGTGATTTTTGATTACGGATTCAAGCTCCTTACTAATTATAAGCTCTGTATTCTGGTTTCTCTTCAGATCACATACATCTTTCACCTTTTACTTATTGTAAGTCTATTAGGATTTTCTATTTCTTTGTAACTGAGTCTTGATAGAGTAGGTTTTCTTTCTAGGAATTTGTTTACTCTTTTAGGTAATTCAGTCTGTTGCATTTAGTTGCTCATAATACTTTCTTATGATCTTTTCATTTCTGTGGAATTGGTAGTAACATCCCTACTTTCATTTCTGATTTTGGTTATTTGACTTTTTTTAGTCTATCTAGCTCAAGATCTGTCAATTTTATTATTTTCAAAGAACCGACTTTCGTTTTCATTTATTTTCTCTATTGTTTTTCTACTATTTCATTTATTTCTGCTCTAGTCTTTATTATTTCTTTCTTTTGGCCAGCTTTGGGTTTAATTCAATCTTTTTCTAATTCCGTAAGTTGTAAGGTTAGGTTGTGGGTTGTCAATCTTTCTTGTTTTTAACATAAGCATTTATAGTCATCAATTTCCCCCTCAACACTGCTTCTGCCATGTTCATATATGGTGGGTCTTTGTTTTCATTTGTCTTGAAGTATTTTCTAATTTCTCATGTAATTTCTCCTTTGATCCATTGATTACTTAAGAGTGTACTGTTTAGGGCGCCTGGGTGGCTCAGTTGGTTAAGCGACTGCCTTCGGCTCAGGTCATGATCCTGGAGTCCCAGGATCGAGTCCCGCATCGGGCTCCCTG